ATGTGATGAGAATACCACTCATCTCTAAGTACACCCCCCAACTCCTTGGGTTATTCCAGCATTTATTAAAGGTAGCCCTGGCTACCATTTCAAGGACTTGAGTCCTCTTCCGTATTTGACCTCCCACGGTCATTACTTCTAGTCTCACATTCATGAGCACCAACCTCAACTATATGAGGATAATCTTGTGACTCCTTTATTGCTTTGGAGTCTTTATCTTTCCCGTGATCCCAACTATAGTTGTTTACCACAACTACATTAGCCAGTTTGCTAAGTCAAACGCTCATCTGGATCACATCCTCAACTCTCTGAGGAAAACCATATACTGTTCCCAAGATCCCAAAGTCGTTCCCTTACTGGCCCCTTTTCTATCCACCACATCGCGCCCAAGTTTATGCATGAACTCAAGTGGAGAGCCATGTCCTCTCGACGTGCTACTCCTCAACGATAGGCCCACTCCTAGGACCTTCCGATGCCAATATCAATGGTGATATACTTGAGCACCAATAAAAGTCAGACTAAGGAACAGCTCCGATACCAAATTGTAAGCGACTAATTTTTCCATTTTACTTTAGTCACTTAACCACACCTCTGACCACTTGGAGGAGTCTCATTCACCGCCTCCATAAGTCCAATTCAGGACTTAGGACTTGCTAGCCCCGAGAATGGCATCTATGCCACTCAACATTTGCACTTGGTCCAGGTGCTCCACGTGTCCAATCCCATGACCGGCACTCAAAGGTACCACCGACATGGCAGCCTGTTATGCTAAGGCCATGCCCAATCACCTTTGCCACACTGGTAGTCCAATACTACTTGCATTGCAGTCTTGGCTCTCCAAGACTAGGCAATCCATCCGTGAGTGGTCATCTCAGATCCACTCCTTAGCATCCTTAGGATGCCCACCGACAAGGGGAATAGCCTTCCCCAATATCCCTCTGTCAGTCTCCACTAAGTCCCTTTCTGCCCCTGACCGTGTTTGCCAACACTGCCACTGGATTGAGGCCCACAGGCCCGACCACTAAGTCCTCTGGGACTTCCTCACCACACGACTGAGTCCTTGGTCACTACCCCAGAGGACTGCTCCTCTTCCTTTCCACAGTCTGGGCCTTTGGGACAACATTTTGGAACACCGTGGCCTTACGCGAGCCACCTGGGTACTCTCCCCGCCTTCCTCCCTTGGGTGCTTTAGCCATGGGCTTAGAGCGAGGTTCCGTTGAGCCACGCCTGGTATCCAAGTAGGTAGTGCCACCCACACTTGGACTGGGAGCATCGGCCAGTCGATCTCCCGGGGGAACTAGAGCCGGCTCTTGAACACTTCACCAAGCTACCCCGCTTATCGGTCCGTGTTCACTCTAGTCTTGGACTTCCCAGTGGTCAGCTCATCACCCAACACTGGGTCTGGCCTTCCTGGGCCAAACTGGCCTTTCCTGGCCAAACTGGCTCCACTGGGCTCCAACCCCCACACTCTCCCTACTATACTTTTGGAACCCCCCACAGCCTCCCCCCCCTGGGGGACGATTGCTTTGGGCTTTCACCCAACTGCCTGTATTAGTATTCGGACTCGGACTCGAACTCGGACTCGGACTCGGTCTCGGTCCCGGTTTCAGACTCGGACTCGGTCTCGGTCTCGGCTTCGGCCTCGGTCTCGGTCTCAGTCTCGGACTCCATCTCGGACTCCATCTCGGGTCCATCTTGGGCTCCATCTCGGGTCCATCTCGGACTCCATCTCGGACTCCATCTCGGGTCCTTTTGGGTCCCTTTTTGGAGCCTCGCTTATTGCTCACTTCGTGCTCATTTCTCGAGCACTTTGTTAGGAGTTCCACTCCCGCTCTCGACCTTTCCAGTCGGAGCTTTTGGCCCAAACGTGTTACACTCGTTTGGCTTTCGCTTCGGCTACTACCACATGGCACCCTTCCGGCTCCACTTTGGGGCCTAGGGATTTTGTGTCTCACAAGATGTCATTTGCTATATGCTTTCAAATTATGTGCAAAGATCATCTTTATTTCTTGTATAAAAATATTTTTTTCACATCACTTCTATCACTAGTGAGTTAGAGTTAATGAAAAATAAAAATTTATAATAATAATTAAAGTAAGAATATAAAACAATATGTTATAAATAATATTCACATGATTTATTACCCTATATTTCAAAAAAAAATCTAAAAAATTATTTAACAAGTATATATATTTTATGAAATTTTATTACTTAGAACTTTTATAATGCATTTAAATAATATAACTTTAAATCTATAATTTTTATAATTTTTATTTATTTAAATAAATTCAAATAATTATTAACAAAAATAACTAAAAACTTAAAAATAAATGGTTTGCCCAAGGTTATTCAAATAACTTCAGCCCCTCGAACTGCAAAAGTACCCAAGGTGGTTAGAAACAATGCCAAAAGTACCACAAAAATATTTGTGATTGTTAATGAAAATGCATAGTGGCCACCAAAAAAGAAGGAATAAATAAAAAACATAAAAAAATAACATGAAAATAATCAAATAAAATAAATTCAATTTTGGTGGCATTATTGTTCAGTTTCTCATTCACATGTTAGATCGTTCTTGATTTCGAACTTTCACGAGTTATATTTTATTTTGTAAAATACAAATTGTTTTCTTTTTAATCCTATTTCCAAATATATATTAATAAAATCTATGTCTATTTAGTTATTATTTTGTGCATAATTAAAACTATTGAATTCTCTTTTATTGTTAACATTTAATTTTTTCACAAATACTATAAACAATCAATACTGAATTTAACATTGTTACTCATATTTTCTTTTGTACAATTATATAATAAAGTAATACTTAATGGTGATATAATTCATGATACTTTCAATGAAAATTTACAATCAATTTTATTCTAAATTATAAGAACAGAGTTCTTTTAACAAAAATAAAAATTGTTTAGAATAATATTATGAATATTTCGACATTGATTATAAATTTTTTAGCTTTACTCTATTAGAAATATATAAGTATTGAGGAATCTTGAAATTGTTTTTATAAAGTAAGTTTTTTTTAAAAATTAATATAGTAAATGTTATTTTATAAGTTTATATAAAAATTACTTATTCTTTTATAATGATTGTAGCTATATATGAAAATAAATATGCATGCATTAGTATTTGGTTTGCTTAATAGTAGTGTTATTTCTATTTATTATTCTAATTGATAAAATGGAAGTTTATAATTATAAACATATCTATAATTTATAAACAGAAGATTAATCTTATTGAATATCAACTATTAGACTGTTAAAATACACTAGAATATACTATTGAATATCAACTATTAGATGGTAGAATAAACTAGAATATACTAAAATGTGTTTTGGAAAGTTTATAAATGATAAATATGTTTATAAATTGTAATTACAAAATTAATCTAAATGGATAATAACCGTTAGATGGTAGAATATCCTTGAACATCTTTGTATATTCTAAACATATTTACTATCATTAGACTTTACAGGTTCACTTAAGGAAATTTAAAAGAATCCACGTAATTAAAAATGATTTAGGTTAAATATAATGTTAAATTAAAATTAAAACCACTATTAAAATTATATTAAAATGATTTACTCTCCATTCTATTTGAAATGATTACAGTTATCTGTGAGTCGTAAGAGATTTAAAGGTAAAAAGAAATTAGGATCACCGGCAGTTTAGGGTTCTTAGAATGTCTCGGCGTAGGGATCAGGGCTCTTGTACGAGTACCAGCGCGCGACCGGCACATAGATCCCCAGATTCACGAGGCTCAGCCCCGCGATCAGCCAGTAGTAGCGCTCCAGATGCCCGGCATTCACATCGTTCTGGAGCCACGACGGCGCCCCGCGATTGACGCAGGTAACGAGGACGCTGCTCAAGAAGCTCCCCACGCCCAGATTCGCGAGCGCCAGGGACGTGCCCAGGCTGTGGAAGGTGTCGGGCGATTGCTCGTGGAAGAATTCCAGCAGGCTTGAGTTTGTGAGGCCCTCCGCTATGCCCAGCACCACGTACTGCGGCACCAGCCAGAAGATCGTGACGCTGGTGGTGGGATTCATCCAGGCTTTTCTCTTGATTTCCATCAGCGCTGCGATGCCCAGGCCGATGGCGGCGATGAAGATTCCCAGCCCGCTTCTCTGGAGCAAGGTGATGCCGCGCTCGTTCCCGGAGAACTTTCTTATGGTTGGGACGATGATACGGTCGTAGAGTGGGAGGAAGAGGACCACGGTGAGGTTGCTGAAGAGAAGCATTGATGCTGGCGGGATTTTAAAGGTGGTGCTTCCAAGCCGGTTGTCCATAGCCATTCCTTGGCGGAGGAAGAAGGTGCCGGACTGAGATGGAGCAATGCTAAACCAGAGCGTTGCCAACCAGATTGGGAGCATTCGTATGACGAGCTTGACTTCCTCGACTCGGGTCACGGTGGAAAGCTTCCAGGGGCTGGTTTTCGTCGTGGAAGACTCCATCTCCATGTCGGTATCGAGCTTTAGCGTTGCCTTGTCAAGAAACCTGGACGAACGAAGCTAAGAACAGGGAAAAGTCGAGAGCTACAGTCACTCACCGGAACTGGTTGGTGTGTGGAATGTGTCTTTTGCCTTTGGCAATCGACTGTTCTTCGTGGAGCTCCAGGGATGGTGCGACGACGTTACGCTTGCGGAAAGCTGCCACTATGACTTGCACCATTTTCGTAAGGGGGCTTCCTTCGGGCCTACGGTACCGGTATCTTGGGGTCTGGATGAGGAACAGAGCTATGGACACCGCAAGGATAATGCCGAGAAGGCCGAATCCCCACGAGAAACCGACGTGATCTTCAATGTAGACGAGCATGGTGACGGATACCAAGCCTCCGATGTGGATGCCCCAGACGATGAAGTTGAAAAAGGAGAACTTTTGCAGCCGCTCGACGTTGTCAGACTCGTCAAACTGGTCGGCTCCGAAGGACACGAATGAGGTGGTAGCGCTTCCACCTGCGAAGGCGATTGCGTAGAGCGAGAGGAAGAGGAAAGCATTCTGTCCGGGCGATGCGTGCTGGCAAGTGGGGCTTTGAGCCGGGCAGCTTGGAGGCCGCAAGTTCTTGAGGGATGCGGAGATGGTGAGGCATGTCAATCCCTGGTAAGTTTTTCAGTTTTTCAGTTTTTTTTTTGTTGGATTGGTGTTGGTAAAGCTACTTTTGCAGATAGAATTTGAAGTACTCACCACGCCGTAGAGCACGAAAGAGTACAGCAGCGTCCTGTAGCGGCCCCAGTATGTGTCGGAGAGAAAAGCCCCAAGAACTGAGGAGAGAAAGTAAGTGCCTTGCAAATTGTTAGCGTCACTTGCGGATTGAGAAACATCTCGATGCATAACACCCGTCAAGTATGTCAGCAGGTTGGAGATTATGCCGAAGAAGATGACCGTCGCAGCTACTTGGATGACTGCAACACACTCGCAAAGTCAAGACACTGAAAGCTTTGCAAAGCGTTGGAGAAACTTTACAGATCATAGGGATCGCGCCGGCCCATTTTCCAGTTTTCTTCTTGAGAGCGGGCTGGCCCTTGAAATCCAGAGTTCCGTTTTGAGCATACAGGTGGGTTTGTGCATTGCTCTCCATTTCCTGCGTTGTTTGATGAGACATATTTCGAGCTGCCACTCAGAAAGACAGAGGGAATGATAGAAAACTCACCATAGCTTCTTCGAATGCAATGCAGAGAGACCTTCCAACGTGCAATCATGTCGTGACAAGATAAGCTACAGAGGAACAATCAGTATCTCGATAGAAATATCTTGCCAAACATTTTTCAACCAAGACGTAAAGCACTAAGTCTCGTTCTAAACAAGAAACTATAAAAACGTTTTGACTTGAATTGACTAAATCTGGGTGGTAGATGGGGCGTTGAACTGCGGCCAGCCTCTGGTCTCCGTGCCAACAGTCCTAAAAAACCATCTTTTCAACATGGCTACACCGAGATACTGATAGATACTGCAGTAGCCTTTCTTGTCACGTTATGATCCCAGAGAATCTGAAGAAAAGAACCTTCAATCTAGCAAATTTTGACTTGACAAGAAGGTAAGAAAACAAGGTACTCTCTTTTCGTGTTGTGTTGACCTGTTTAGACTTACCAACTAAATCTTGGTGTCAGAGGACAGTGTTGCCTGCAAACAAGTTGTCGGATTTGGGCACAGAAATGCCAAAAGTTTACATGATCAAGTAGGCGGCCTTGCAGTCGAGAAAAAATGTAAGTTACCAGGTTTGGACACAGAAATTTCTGGTACTGAGACGTCTGTGTACGAATCAGCGCAAGACTCAGTCGTGTGAAAGGACCAGCTCCACAGCACGCATCGACTTCAAGTTCCATCCAATGGAGTGCCATAAGAAGATACAAGAACACGTACCAGAAGCTCGAGATATCGCAATCAAGGCAAAGAATATCGCAAGAGAACAACCAGCTGAATTCCCGTGAGTTGCAATGGCAGGGTCTCCTAGGCCAAGCTCTCCAAGCAGTCAAACGTGGCTCGAATGTGATCAAAGCAGCAAGCAAAGCTAAGCACTACCTTCAGCAGTGTGGCCAGAACGTCTCGCTGTATGGAGAAACGCTGGCCAGGCTTCTTAAGAGTTTACATGTGTGTTGGTTCTAGCGTCTCTGCTCCTGTCTCCCAGGATGAACAGGGCTGACAAATTGGACTGGGGATGCAGATGGATCTATGAGGCCCAGCATAAACTGATTAAGCATCAATAATAATTGATCAGATTAAAAACCATAATTGCAAAGTAGCTTAAAAACATGTACTTAAACTTGTTGATTGCTCAACCCCACATATACCAAAGACTACGGGAATGCATAGCCTCCTATTCAAGTTGTTACCACTAGCCACCCCATTGCTACAAAATGCATTTAGAAAGAGGATATATATAGGATTGTGAAGGGAAACTTTATGAATACCAAGATGAGTAAGCACTGAGAAATAACTGTTGCCTAAGAACTTCAACTTTTTTACACTCTAATATTAATTGTCACCATAGCCATCCAAAAGTTCATCCTCCTTGGCACTGGCTTTTTCGGCAATGCTATTGTTACTTTCTATCACACCACCATTTTAGGATTATTGCCAATCCTTCATTAATTAATCACACTTAGTCTAAAACAAAGAGAAACCCATAATCTTGACTTTGTCTCGATCATAAGCACATTTTAGCCTCTTGACATCATCTCAGCAATGATTGTGCTCCTTCCTAGAGCACCTCTTGCTTCAGAACCTCTTAAATAAACCATTACACTTGATGTCTTTAGATTTTCACCTCCCTTTTCTTTTTATTAACTTCATAATATAAGTAGCCTAATTCTTTCTTTAGCACTTCCTCTCTTTCCATTATGCAACATTTTTCACATTGAAACAAGATGGCTTTTGACTTGGGAAAAGTACCCCAACATACTTGGCACTCACTCTTCTCCCACTCTTTATACTCATTCTTCATTCCCATGCAATGTACCAAAAATGAGGAAGGAAATTCCATAAACACCAAGATACAGAAAAACCATTATTGCTTAGGGACTTAAGCCTTCTCATACTCTAATGCTAATTGTCACCACAATGATTTAGAGGTTCACCCTCTTTAGCACTGGCCTTCACTATTGTTGCTCTCCATCACACTACCATTTGTTTTTTATTTTCCACTAAACCTTCTTTTGTATTTTGTCTCCCACAATTAAGGTCATAGCCCTAGAATTATTGTTAATCCTCTACTAATTAATCATATTTAGTCTAAAACAAAAGACACAAACACACTCTAATCTTTTAACAAGGACACTTTGTCAAATCCTCTCTTCCACCCAACCTAATCACAAGCTATAGCATGCAATTTGTTAATGCAATTGTTATGGTGTAAAAGGATAGAAAAGGATTTCATGCCAAAGTCCTATTAGTCGATATAAATTTTGAGTACACAGGCCAATGATATTACACAAATATCAATCCTCCAAGGATAGGGCTTTGTTATTGAGAAGTTTTTTATTGATAACTGAATATCCACATGATGAATTTTTTCCATCATCCTTAAAAATTTTGAGATCTATAATGACATTTATCTAAAAGTTTACACCTTCATAGAAATTTTTTTTTCTTGTTTTCTTCAATCTAACTTTTTTCCCTTTTGCTTTATCTAGATTTCTATTATTTTAATACTTGTTAATTTTTCTTTCCTTTTTCTTTTCCATGTGTTTTTATATATACAAACAAATAACTAAACTGACAATCAATTTTGTAAAATTTTATCTAATTTATATAATTTTTTTACACTTAAGTTTTTGTATTTTATTAGTTCATAACTATAGTGGCAATTTTAATGGCCATAACCACAGCCCATCCCAAATGGTTATGGCCACCTTCTTCCACATGTGAATTATTATTGTTACATTGTTAATAAACAATTGCTTCACAATACATTAAATATTGCTATGGCAATGCTTAATTTTTTCTTCTTGCTAGCATGCATAATAGATATCATTTAATTTCCAAAAACAAAAAAATGTGATGCTTTGCTTTGAAAGTTGGTAAAAGTTTAATTTCGGAACTGGAGCTGAGTTAGTGCAGCTTCAAGTACTCAATATCTAGTATGAAAACCATGTCAAAAATGAAAACATGAAATCAATCCAGCCTATAAGGTTAAATGGAAAAAAATATAAACACAACTGTTGCACTAGCAGGTTGGCCTAGGCAGCCATTCGCCATTATATGGCTGTTACTATGGCTGCCAAAGCCAGGAGTTGGGTTGCTAGTCCTCTACTGCGATGAGGTGCTAATTGACATAGGTTTGAAATTAAATATCTCAGTATGCAATGGCATTTGATATAGCTAAATTTAAAGTTAAACATAAGATATCTAGATCTAAGCTTTTTATGATATATACTTAATCATAGTAATTACAAGATTTTGATCCCAAGGAAATCAATGCACTGTTGCATGGGAATCTTGCAACGTTGCACTCAAAATCCTATGAAAATCACTAAAGAAAACGCTTAATTTCTCTCTCTAAAGCTCATGGAAAATTATAATGAATGTGCCCTAAACCACATGGACCAACTAGTTAGGTCTAGTTATATAAGATATTAAAGTCCATCTCTTGCTAATAGTTTTATAGATACATAAATAGAACCATCTAAGAAAAGAACCTTACCACCTATACCATAAGCTAGTATACAGTTGTTAATAATGAATCTGAAAGATTGAACTATATCCTGTTGAGTAAAATGTATATTATTAGCTCTCCACCCGTGTACTATCATGATAATTTCATTGTTATTCTTTTGTGTTTCATAAACGTGATCATAAGGTGAATTTTTCCATTGTAAGAGGACATAATCTATAGAACGATATAAAAAACTCATTGAGACTCGTCTTCGTGGGTCATAATTGAAACATCTTTTATTAGCTCGACTTGAATAACTGAGACATTGTAGAATACTCAAATTAAATAAGATTATAATACTGATTAAGAATTTCATTTGAAATATGCTGTTGAAATTTTCCTTTGATTATTATAATAAATCAGATTTAACTTACTATAAAACTACAGTCATAGAATGTTAATTTTAAAACTACACTTAGATTTTAATAGAACCTTATTTGATTTTAGTCATTAAATTACATTGTTTTGTTTTTGAATAAAAATATTAATATAAGGTGATGTGATGTGTTAGTGTCTATTACAATCGCTTGCTAATTTTGATATAATAAATTTTGGTAGTTATTATTGATAAGCTACACCAAATACATGCCCTGGGTCCTTGATAAAAGACACTTAACGCTAAATGAAGAAAATGTTAGTGACACCATTTAATCCTATAATCTCTTATAAGTTCCAAAATTCATCTCTCTCTCTCTCTCTCTCTCTCTCTCTGTGACCTTTCTTGTTTAATCTAACTTTTCTTTCTTTTTTCTCTATGTTTAGATTTTACCTTTCCCTTTATTGTTTCTTTTTATTTCTTTTATTTTTCTAGTTAAAAGCGATGTATTACACAATGTTAAATCTTGTGGTCAAGTAACATGCAATCCTATATCAACATATGTAGTTACTAGGTGATCAACTAGATGCAATGTGTGATCATGTATTGGACACAAGAAGTAGGTAAATACTGCTTGTTTAAAACTCGCCATATAAGTTCCTTTGAATAAAAAGAAAATTTAAGAATATGCTGTATTGGTAGCGAACAACGCAGGAAGAGCTGTGTCGATGTGCACAGCTCCAAGGACATCTCAGCGAGAGGGAGGATGATTACCGAAGAAAACGAATACGGCTCTTGTCGCCGGAGCACAAGGACTTACACGGAGGTCATGCGTGATGAGAAGCTCAAGCGCAACAGACTCGAAGAAGGATTTGGCCGAGAAAAGGAAACTGGAGAAGGGAAAACAACCAGCTGGTTCTAAACGAAAGAGAGAGCACTCGAACGTGGGGATGGGATGCTCTGGACGGTCCGAATTGAAGACAAACTCGCCGGCTCCACAAACTTTGAGCCTGGAATGCATGTCACAGGCGAAGTGAAGCTTGCACAAATCATCTGGCATCTTTGCAACTGTCTCCCACTTG